GAGTCCCCTGCCTCGCTGGGCAATGTCGTGGTGGGTGCTTAGTATTCTTCTCTTTCACCTGTGGGCTCCTGGCCACCCCCCACCTCTGTGACTGAATGAGGAAACGCTCCAGTTTCATAGGCAGGAATATTGCTGCTTATCTCCTCTGTGAACACCGGTAGATTCCAAAAGAATCATCTGTCACTTGCGTGTGTCAAAAAATGCCATTTATGTCTTAGATCCAGCAGGATTGCAGTTGGTGAGCTAATTGCTGGACAGAACTGTACCAATGTGCTGGGATAACATTGTTCCAAAGCTGAGGGTCCCCTCGTTCTCTTCTTAGTTTGTCATTTAAAGAAGTCAGTTTAACTCCTCATTTTTAAAAGCTACAAAGTCAGCAAATAGAGAAAGAAATTCTACTGTCAGTCTGACCAATGTGGCTGCACAGGGATTGTGGTGTTTTTGCAAATCCTAATAAAATTCATACCCTCCAGCTTAATTAAATACATTTTAGTCTCATGCATACACATATTACGTGAGAATACAAGTGCAAATTATATATATATATGAGTTAAGTACATTGAAATATATATTCTGTCCCTCTACATAATATAAAGTCTGTGTAACTGCTGTACAACTCCTAAAGATGAGACAATTAGAGAATATTTGATGACAAAGGGAAATATTAAAATATTAAGTGGAGTCAGCGCCGCAGCTCACTAGGCTAATCCTCCACCTGCGGCGTCGGCACACCAGGTTCTAGTTCCTGTTGGGGTGCTGGATTCTGTCCCGGTTGCTCCTCTTCCAGGCCAGCTCTCTGCTCTGGCCAGGGAGTACAGTGGAGGATGGCCCAAGTGCTTGGGCCCTGCACCCCATGGGAGACCAGGAGAAGCACCTGGCTCCCGGCTTCAGATCGGTGCAGCACGCTGGCCGTAGTGGCCATTTGGGGGGTGAACCAATGGAAGGAAGACCTTTCTCTCTGTCTCTTTCTCCCATTGTCTTAACTCTGCCTGTAAAAAAAAATTAAGTGGAACAGGGTTATGAAACAGTATTATGGCATGCTTCCATTTTAGAAAATTTACATTTCTACACATCCATGTGTAAAGCATATGTAGAAACTAATTAGAATACATAACTATATGTCACCAGTGGCTATATCTGAGTGACTGGATACCCAGTAATTTTATGATCTTTTTTCTGTATTTTTAAAATTTATTTATTTGAGAGGCAGAGTTATAGATAGAGAGGGAGAGACAGAGAGAGAGAGTTCTTCCATCCGCTGGTTCACTTCCCAAATGGCTGCAACAGCCAGAGCTGGGCTGATCTGAAGTCAGGAGCCAAGAACCAGGAGCCAGGAACCAGGAGCCGCTTTCGAATCTCCCATGCGGGTGCAGGGGCCCAAGCACTTGGGCCATCCTCCACTGCTTTCCGAAGCCATAGCAGAGAGCTGGATCGGAAGTGGAGCAGCCAGGACTAGAACCGGTACCCATGTGGGTTGCCAGCACTGTAGGTGGAAGCTTTACCTACCATGCCACAGCGCCGGCCCTGTGTTTCTGTATTTTTAAAAATTTTCTTCAATCGACGTGTATTGTTGTTATAATTAAAACAAGAAGGTATAACAAAGGTTATTTTTGGGAAATGATCTTTAAATGTGCAGCTGTCTGGTGTGGCTGCTGTTCTGGGAGTTACTCTTGCTTTTGGATTGTAAAGCCGGGATCTCAGAATTTCCTGGCTGGCCTGGCAAGGAAGGCGCGCGAGAGAAAGCTTTGGCAAGACGGAGCCTGAAGAGTGACCCCCACAGCGCTGCCTTACCCGAGAAGGAACAGGCTCCACTTAGGAGCGGAGGGTCACCCAGGCCCAACACCAGGAGAGGCACACTCCAAGGAAGGGCCAAAGCTTGCCCAGGGCGCTCTCCTTACCCTATGAAAGCCTCAGTAACTGTTGAAAAAGGAGCCCGCATCTTCTTTTTTCACTGGGATCTGCAAATGATGTTGCTGGTGCTGCCTGAGGCTCTGGCTTCTCCAAAGCAAGGTCAAAGGAAAACAGAGAGCAGTAACTGGGTGTTTGGCAGAGCTGTTAAGATGACGCTGTGGCCGGCGCCGCGGCTCACTAGGCTAATCCTCCGCCTTGCGGCGCCGACACACCGGGTTCTAGTCCCGGTCAGGGCGCCGGATTCTGTCCCAGTTGCCCCTCTTCCAGGCCAGCTCTCTGCTGTGGCCAGGGAGTGCAGTGGGGGATGACCCAAAGTCCTTGGGCCCTGCACCCCATGGGAGACCAGGATAAGTACCTGGCTCCTGCCATCGGATCAGCGCGGTGCGCCGGCTGTGGCGGCCATTGGAGGGTGAAGCAATGGCAAAGGAAGACCTTTCTCTCTGTCTCTCTCTCTCACTGTCCACTCTGCCTGCCAAAAAACAAACAAAAACAAAAAACAAACAAACAAAAAAACAAAACAAAAAAACACGCCGTAACTCCGGATGCCCACATTCCAGACTGGAGTGCCTGGGTTCAAATCCCAGCTCCACTCTCAATGCCAGCTTTTTCCTCATGTGCCCCCTGGCAGGCAGCAGGTGATGGCTCAAGTACTTGGGTCCCTGCCACGCAACCCACTTCCTGGATTGAGTTCTGGGTTTGGGGCTTTGGCTTGGTTCAGCTCCAGCTTTTTCAGGCATTTAGGTATTGAACCAGTGAATGGGAGATTCCTCTCTTTCTCTCTCTCTCTCTCTCTGCCTCATTCTCTTTCTCTTCCCTGGCCCCCTGCCTTCTTCCCTCCCTTTCAAATATAATAAAATTAGTTGGCAAGACCACCACCCAGGTTGAGTTAACCTGGAACATTCTATCTCCTCCATAGGACATCTCTGTTTATTCAAAGCACCCAGCAAACAGCCTTAGCTGGTGTGGCTCATCCTCAGCCTACATGTCCACTTCCCGTCCTCCTTCAGGCCTGCCCTTTCTCTACAGTGGGGCTCTGTAGGGGCCTTTCCTGGCCAGATGCCCACTACTGCTGGGGCTGAGGTGGCATGAGCATGCCATTCTTTAAAAGAGGCAGGTGCTTCTGAACTCCGCTGGGCTTGGTGCACTCTGGGAAAGGCCACTGTGATGTCCAATCTCCCCGTCCCAGGATCTGTGCCGAGACCACATTCTCATTTTTTTTCTTTTTTTAAAAACTGAACTCCAAAAAGTGCCATTCCATAAAATACACCTGCCTTCTTGGGTTGCTACGTTTCTTTAAAGAGAGAGAGAAAGAGAGAGAGAGAGAGAGAGAGAGAGAGAGAGGCTTTCTTTTCTTGTTGGCTGACTCTTAAACAAAACAAAAATTTTTAATACAAGCAACGGGAATGTTACTGACTTTTTCAGTCGAAAATTAGAGGCTGAAAACCATCCATGAATGTCCCTACTTCCTCTACCCCCCTCCTTCCCCACCCCCCTCTCCCCACTGCTGATATTTTTGGTTTGCAAAATATTTACAACTGTACTTTAAATATTTGTGTGGAATGAAAGAAAAGCCTGCAGGCAGTGGTTGCCTCCTGAAGCTGGGGTGAGCTCTGTTTTCCTTGGGGTCCCTTGCATCCCCCGCGGGGCTCCCTGCTGCCCTTGGGTCCACATTCCCTGCCGAGCCATCAGCTTGTCATCCCTGCCTGGGTTCCCCCAGCTCCCAAGTGCTGGCCCCAGGCACAGCCTGCCCTGATTCCTCTTGGTGTCCCTTTCCCCTGTCCCGGGCTGGGCTTCTCTGATTACAAAGTATCATCCTACCTCAGCTGTTGAAACTTGGTCATTTCGCACCTGCTTCCATGAATTCGGAGTGACTGGTGTTTTTGAATAGCTGCTCACTTCATAAATTCACCCCTCTCCGGTTATCACCACTCAGCCTTCGAGGTGGAGGAGGCCACGTTGAAAGCCTCGGCTTACGAGAAGATTCCCGACTAATGATTCTAAGTCTGTCTGAAAACTTGAACTAACACAACTGACCCAGGGTCAAAATGAGACCCACAGCTCAGCCTGAGGATTCGCCTGCACCTGCCGGGGTCCACAGCAGATAAAACCTAGACATGAACTTCTTCCTGAAAGTAAAGTAAAAATCTGACTCAGTCTCTCACCCCTGTTTGGGATTCGTTTATTTTTCCTTTATGAAATCATTGCCTGGGATTCTCCACCCCCCCATCCTCCGCCCCCTTAGGGATTCTTCAACACCACTAATTGCTGGAAATACCAAAATGCCAGGAGCTCCAGCGTCCTTCTAGCCTTTTAGGGCCGACACAGTCCAGGAAATACTTTGAGTCTGGTCAGGGAACTTGATCTGTTGAGGTTTGCAGTCCAGATAGCTTTGGTATCTGAACACTCACGGTGTTGGTGAGGACAATGCTGGCTTCCTCCCTTTGTCTCTTGTTGAAAACCAATCCTCGCACATCTGATTCAAGGGGATCAGTGTCAGCTCTTGTCTCTAGAGCAGCCGTGGAAACCTGCGTGGGCTGCGGCATCTGGTAATTACCGTGTGTGTTTACAGGTGGGTGTCTGAGTGTGTGCATGTCTCCAGGGTGTCATGGGAGTATTCGGGAATTTTGCAAATAATGAACTGATAGGTTTATGCCCATAATTCTACTGACAATGCAAAAGGTGAACAGTTGGAAATGCAACGCTAGCCACATACCGACCCACAACCCCAGCTCGCAGTAATTTGAGAATCCCTTTCCTGCTCCTCTTTCTCTGGATCCTTCTTTCTCCTTAAATTTGTTAAAAATTTATTTTTGTCTTATTTGAAAGGCAGAGAGACACAGAGATATCTTCCATTTGCTGGCTCATTCCCCACGTGGCCACAGCAGCCAGGGCTGGGCCAGGCTGAAGCCAGAAGTCAGGAACTCAATCTGGGTCTCCCATGTGAGTGGCGGGGACCCAAGTCCCCGAGCCATCACCTGCTGTCTCCCAAGAAGCTGGAATTGGAAGTGGAGCTGGCGCCTGAACCAGGCACTCTGATATGGTGCAACACGAGCGTCCCTAGCAGTGACTTAACAGCCGTGCCAGTTTCCTTCCCTGAATCCTTTTAGAGAGAACCAGAGAGGCTTCCATTCACTTCTTGGGTGGGATAGGCCTGGGAAAAACTCAGCCCTGAGTGTCTCTCTCCGGAAGCAAGCCCCTGGTACCCCAGGGTACCAGCCCCAGGGGGCTCCCTGTAGCGTGATCTCCCAGCCCTGTACTTGCAGCCCTGGCTCTGGGCCCTCACCTGCTATCAGCTGCAGGTGTGCTGGCCTGTTAGGGCTCAGTCTTCTCCTTCAGTCTCCTTGGATTATTTCCCTCCAGGCTTGACTAGTGCCTTCTGAGCCTTCACTGTCTGCTTAGCATCCACGTCTGCCCTATGAAGACTTGGCTGCCTGAGACGCGACAAGGCCCCCTGTGAGGTTTTTGACTCAGGTTCTCCTCAGTGGTTCCGTATCTTTAGAGCAGCTCACCTCAGAACCCTCACTTGGCTGTAGCCACTGGGGTGGGATTTTGGTCCTTGATACGGGGTTTAGAGAAAAGAGACTTGCTCCTGCTCCAGCATGAGAAAGAGTCAACCTCATCTATTTGCTGCTGCTGGCACTGGTGCCTACAGCCTTTGGAGATCTTGTCCTGATGTCAGGTGCCTGGTTCTGTCCTCCACTGTGGTCTTCCCAGAGTCTACGTGCTATGGTTTAGATACGGCTTGAGTGTGCCTGTACCACCACCAACACCAACACCATGGCTTCATGTATTGAAATTTAGTCCCCAGTGTGAGGGCAAATATCACTGATATTTAGATTACAGCTATCTGAGGTGATTAGGGTTAGAGAAGATGGCTAGCATGGGGCTCCCATGATTGAACCCTGGTGGCTTTATAAGCAGAGGGAGTGAGAAACATGGATATAGATACGTACAGGTGCTCCCTGTCTCACCATGAGATGCTTTGCACCAATTCAGGACTTTGCTGGTAGAAAGCCATCACCAAATGAGACCTCCAAAACCATGAAACCTCTTTTCTTTATAAAGTAGACAGCTTCAAGTATTTCATATGGTAATGGGCAATGGAGCAGGACGTGGCTCTACCAGGAGGAGCTAACAGTACCACACCTTCGCCGGTGGAGAAGAATGTGTTAGGCTCAGGGCAGCCTCTCATTGAGCGTGCCTGCCTTCTAGCCATTGTGACCACTGCCTCTCTTGAAATTTCCTCTCTATTAGGAAGCAGTCCTTGGAGTTCATCCTGCTAGAGGTCATTCGCTCTGCCATAGCCCGCTTTGCTTCCAGGGTCCCAGGGAGCCACGTTGGTGGAGCTGAGAGAATGCATAGTTCTTTCCAACCCTGCCTGGTAGAATCAGGCAGTGTCTCCGATCTTTCCTTGGCTTCCCCACCCAGGTCCAAGCTCCAGATGGTGGGCATTTTGTTTCCAGTCACTCAGAAAGCCACAGCTCACGTCCTCTTGCTGGGGTTTGGTGCAATGTGCTGGACACAAGAGTCCCAAACCTTAAACTAGGTGAGGTGGGTACACCTGGACTCACTTCACATAAGTTCAGGAGTCTTGCCTCTAAAAGGGTGAGAGCCGGTGCCTCTGCTCCCCACTATTGCTTCTTCCTTGCTAGGCTAAAAGTCGCAGGCAGCCTCTCTCACTCCCTAGCCAGGATAGGCATGCAGACAACTCCAGGGCACAGGGCCCTGAGCTCTCCCACTCTTCTGGATAATTGGCAAGGCACTCCACCCAGCCAATTCTGATGCAGGTGGCGCACAGGCGTCATTTGGAGAAACAATGCTTTACAGTCTTGGAACAATAGCCCTCCTCATTATTTTAACACTACTATATTTAATACTACTATAGTAGCATTGCTATCAAAATAATAAGTAGCACTGTGTTCTGAGTTTCTGTGTAAATTGCCATTTTGGAGAAGTCTGAAACTCTTCCTTTGGCTAAATGAGCTTCTGTCTTCCCTGTGCGTGGATTTCTGCATCCTGGGACCCTGGATAGAAGTTCTTAGAAAAGAAAATGTTGAATGGTTAGCACCTGGATACGTGAATGAAATTATTATCACATCATGCAAAAGCAAATAAGGATTTTTTTTCCAAATATGTTTTGGGGAGTCTTGACTATGGCACATACAACAGGCACTTTGAAAACCTTCAAAACGAGGCCATCAAGGAGATGGGCAATTGTCCCCCAGTTCCACTGAAAGTACAATGAGGAGCCCAGTGGGAGAGCCATGCCATCTATATTAACACAGCATGGAGCGTCCAGACAATGGCAGGTGTCAGGGAGGAGGTGCAGAAATTGGAGCCCTTGTATATCACTGGCAAGATTACAAAATGGCATTATGGGTACTATGGAAAATAGTTTGGCAGGTCCTCAAGAGGATCATGAAGTTGCTATCTAACCCAGAAGTTCCACTCCAGGCATCTACCCAAGATAAGTAAAAAGTACCTTCACACAAAACCTTGCATACGAATTTTATAGCAATATTATTTAGAATAGCTCCAAAGAAGAAGCAACCCAGATGTCCAGAAGTGATGAATGGATGAATAAAATGTGATAAGCTCATACCATGGAATATTATTCAGCAAGAAAAAGGATGAAGTACTGATACCTGCCACCTCATGGATAAGCCTCACAAACATTGTTAATTTAAAAAGACCTGGTGTTTGATTTCTTTGCTAGAAAATGTCTAAAACAGGCAAATCTACAAAAACAGAAGTAGATTAGTAGCTGCTTAGGGCAAGGGTCAGCACGGATGGCAAGTGAATGTTAATGGGTAGGAGGTTTCTTTATGGGGTAATGAAAATGGTCTAATGTTTGATTATGATGATGGCTGCAGTGTATTGAAAACCATTGATTTTTTTACAAGTTAAATGGATGAATTTTATGATGTGCAAATTAAACAAAGCTGTCTTTTTTAAAAAAAAATATTAGACACTATGGATAGAAAAAACAGTCATCTCAATCATCTACCCATAATAAAAGAAATCATAATAGGAAAATTACGGGTGTTGATACGGAGTAGAGCTGCTCCCATGAGCAGTGCTGTGTCAGTTGGGCCAAGGTTTTAAATCTAATGGTGGTTAAAGGTCCTGCCAAGCCCTGCCACGTTCACAGCTCGTCCAGGAGGGTGAGTTATCTGGTGACAGCTCCCAGAACTGAGTAGCCCAGTGTCCCTGAGGGCCTGGATTCCAGAGTTCCTGCGAGTAAGCTCCCACTGTAGTTGCAGCCCACGCTTGAGGGTGGAATTTCAACAGTCCCATGCTGAGCTTGGAGTGTTTTGCTTCTGACACGTAAGCTAAATCTGGCACAGGCAACCAGCCATGATCCAGAGAGGATCTTTTCAAAAACTCCATTTCTTGTATAAAAACCTTTCCATTTTGAAAAATTACTCTAGGTCCACCTGCATTTGTAACTTTATTTGGGTCCCTGGGCTGGAAAATGGATGGAATTTTTCAACATGACCATTTTACAGCTTGAAAGATAAACTTTTTCTTGATGTTCTATTTCAAATATTCCACTTGTTGCTAAGATTCTGCCAGTGAAAGTTGAACTTCACCTTTCGAATTATTTACATTGTCTTCTATAATTCACTCTGGGTATTGTCACAATCCCAGAAACATAACCTCTAATTCACCAACTTCACACTCTGGAGTTGGAACATCCTATTTTTGTTCCATCACACGGCATATTCCGACTCCCCATCAAAGCACTTGGAGTAAGACAGTCTGAATTCCTAGCATCAGCCTTATCGGTAGAGTAGGACTTTGTTGAGAAAATTTAATGAATTATTTCATTTAAGATGAAATATTGGTGCTAGATGAGACTTTAGGGGACCCACATGGTTCAACACTGCCATTCTACAGATTAAGGAAGGGCTTTGGGATTAGTTGTGATGAAGTCACAAAGCTAGTTATTTCAGGCCTCAGCTCACTCATCCTTAAAATGGGAGGAATGCTATTTCTGCCCCCCTCCTTGTTATTATTGCTTCATTCACATCTTTATTATAAGTATAAAGTAAGATCAATTCTATGGATGTGTTTTGAAAAAACACCTCTGGAAGAGCTGGATCAATAGTATTTCTAATAAACACACAAGGGGCCGGTGCTGTGTCATAGCGGGTTAATGACCTCACCTGAAGCATTGGCATCCCATATGGGCGCCAGTTCTAGTCCCAGCTGCTCCTCTTCCGATCCAGCTCTCTGCTGTGACCTGGGAAAGCAGTGGAAGATGGCCCAAGTCCTTGGGCCACTGCACTTGCATGGGGGACCCAAAGGAAGTTCCTGGCTCCTGTCTCCTGGCTTTGGATCAGCACAGCTCTGGCTGTTGCAGCCATCTGGGGAGTGAACCAGTGGATGGAAGACCTCTCTTTCTGTCTCTACCTTTCTCTGTAACTCTTTCAAATAAATAAAATAAATCTTTAAAAAATCTAATAAACACACAAAAATCCGAATTACTTTTGTTCTGAGAAGGTGTCCCCTGAGAAAATTTGAGCCCCTAAGTGGGGTTACCTTATTAGAATGGGTGCACGTTGGCCTAATCTGAAAAACACTGCCTTGTGAAACAGAAGAGTTGAATCAGTTTCTCATGTTAGGGAAGGAAGTGGTTGGTTTTTTTTTTGTTTGTTTGTTTATTTTTTTGACAGGCAGAGTGGACAGTGAGAGAGAGAGAGACAGAGAGAAAGGTCTCCCTTTTGCCATTGGTTCACCCTCCAGTGGCTGGCGCGGCCGGCGCGCTGTGGCCGGCGCACCGTGCTGATCCGATGGCAGGAGCCAGGTACTTATCCTGGTCTCCCATGGGGTGCAGGGCCCAGGGACTTGGGCCATCCTCCACTGCACTTCCCTGGCCATAGCAGAGAGCTGGCCTGGAAGAGGGGCAACTGGGACAGAATCCGGCGCCCCAACCAGGACTAGAACCTGGTATGCCGGCGCCGCAAGGTGGAGGATTAGCCTAGTGAGCCGCGGTGCCGGCCAGGAAGTGTTTTTAACAAACCATATTTCCACCTCTCTCTCTCTTTTTTTTTAAAACTTTTATTTAATGAATATAAATTTCCAAAGTACAGCTTATGGATTACAATGGCTCCCCCCCCCATAACTTCCCTCCCACCCGCAACCCTCCCCTTTCCCTCTCCCTTCCCCCTTCCATTCACATCAAGATTCATTTTCAATTCTCTTTATATACAGAAGATCAGTTTAGCATATATTAAGTAAAGATTTTAACAGTTTGCACCCACATAGAAACACAAAGTGAAAAATACTGTTTGAGTGCTAGTTATAGCATTAAATCACAATGTACAGCACATTAAGGACAGAGATCCTACATGAGGAGTAAGTGCACAGTGACTCCTGTTGTTGACTTAACAAATTGACACTCTTGTTTATGGCATCAGTAATCACCCTAGGCTCTTGTCATGAGTCGCCTAGGCTATTTGAATATTCATCAGCTTTGTAATTTTTCACTGAGATTAGTGTACAAGAATTGGAGCAATGAGGGTAAAAGTTTGACATGATTTCCTAAATTGGAAGGCAGTGGCCCAGAGTGGAACAGTGTTACCATGTCAACAGGATAAGTTACCTTGATCCAGCCATGGAGAAGGGGTTGAGACAAGACAAGGCAAAGAGCTGATCCAGAAAATGATACTGGACAACCAGAGTGGATGTAGATTGTTGTTTGAACACGGGAAAGGGGGCTATTTAGGTGTTCTTGGTTTTGACTTGAATCGAGGGGATGTTTCTCAGGACTGTATGGCGTTATGGTAGCAATGACCATTTTAAGCCAATACAATAAAGACACGCATAACTACGTGGGGGTGACATGTCTCAGGAGCGGAATCAGGCTGACAAACTACGGAAGGACACAAAGAAACTCCCAGAGAGGAAGTACCTGCAATGAAAAAGAATGTAGCTGAGACTGCATGGGATCCCACCCCTCTTTTTTTCTTTCAGTTTATTTTTATTTCTTTGAGAGGCAGACGGAGAGGGAGAGGTGTCTTCCATCTGCTGACTGACTTCCCAGCTCTCGACAGCAGCCAGGGTTGGGCCAGGGGAAAGCCGGGAGACGTGAACTCCATGTGCTTCTCCCACGTGGGTGCCGGGGGCCCAAGCACCTGAGCTTTCATTTGCTGCCTCCTTGAATGTGCTTTAGCCAGAAGCTGAATTGGAAGCTGAGGGGAGACTTGAACCCAGGCACTTCCACGGGCAACCAGCAGCAGCTTAACTGCTGTACCACAGCACCCGTCCAAGGCAGGTCTCATCACAGGTCCTTCATAAGGAAAAGGCAGATGTGTCTGTACTGCTCAGTGAAGCTAGTTTGCCTTAGAGCACGAAACAGGGCTCAGACTGAATCGCAGCAGCTTCGCTTCCAGCTAGCAGCGAGCAAAGTCTTTGTCCTGGAGGACTTCCTGCAAAATGAAGTGAGGGCTAGGACTGCACTGCTCCCTTTGGAGTAAACCTCGCAACTCAGAGTGTGCTCTGTTCAGGCTCAAGTGAAGAAAGCCTGGGCGTGTGTGCCCTGTCCACGCTGCCCCTCTCAGAGAGCCCCTCTCCCCATCTCTCGGCTGGGCTCCAATGGCACATCTTTGTCATGGAACTTCCTGTTCACTGTCAAAACTGATTGGACCACTGGTGGACACCCAACCCAGGCCGAACCAATCAAATCTTCTTTTCCCGGCATCTACAGCCAGAACCAGCTGATCTTTTGAACCAGACCATGATGTGAAGTTGGAGAAGCAGAGAAGCCCGGGCTTCAGAGAGGGAACAATTGAATGCTGCAAATGTGCAGGCAAAAGTGGAAATGAGAATCCACATGGCTCTGGAGAGACAGGAAATGACAGGTTCTGGTAGTTTTAGAGTTTCTGATCTAGGGAGGCCTGGATATACTTCCTGTCCTGAGATACAAAATTAGTTTAAGCTGGGTTCAGTGGGCTTCTGTTCTTTTCTACCTGAGAAGCCTTAACCAAAATCTCAGGGACATTTGTAGATGAGAAAAGATTGGGTACTTCTCT